TCACTGTCTGAGCCGGGTGGAACGACTGGGACGCACACAGACTCCAAGTGTAGGTGATATATTTACATACATTATTCGACCTGTGTACCATACCACTAGACAAGTTCAAGTGGCTGTGTTAGAAGTTCAATGATGTTTATATCTTCTATATATTTTTCTTAAATTGTATAGACAACTTCCCTCTCCATCTCCTGAAGAAGCGCTATCTAGTGCGAAACGTTGAGAAAACCAAGCTCCTCCATCACCTTTCTTTATACTAATCATGTCATGTGTACATGAATTTTTCAATGATCATGTTTTTCAATCATGTTCCATTGCATAAGATTCTGATTGTCATCTGTATATGAATGAATTTAACTAATGTGGAGTGAGCTTACAGGGGAATCATGTTGTCAATTTTATCAATTCTACTTACCTTTTAATCAAATAAAATATTTCTTCTAAAAAAAGTCTTGGTTTGTAAGTTGTCAGTCGGCTGCCCAAAAAAACCCCCCAACTTTCCTGACTTTTCAATATACCATTTTCAGGGGTGTTGGCATCCTGTGCCTTGATCTAGGTCATTCCATTTCAAATCAAAGGGGTGTCAAGGTCAACATAGATCCTTTCTAGCAAAGCAAAAGCACCATCTCACTTGCCTTCCCTCTGCCTGGTCTGCGGTGAAAGTAGATCAAATGGAAGGGTTCGCTATGAGACACGCTCATGTGACCTTTTTACAATCTGGACTGAAGGAGTGTCTCTGTTACCGTTTTTCTGCACAATGCAGAGGCCACACAGGCCTAGGTGTAGCCCAGTATCCAGGGTGACTATCTTTTTAAATGATTAGTCCACATGATGTCACTTAGGAAAAGTGCAGTTACAGTTCACCCATTTAGGGTCCACACACATGGATGGGAGAGAGGCGTGTGGTGTCAGGCAGGCGGCAAAGTGCAGATCTCTGGCGAGCATAGTTACTATTAAGTACAATCTTTTCCACAAGCCAGAAAAGTGCACTGCAGTCTGTAGAGGTGGCCATACACTTTACAACCATCGCAAGACCTTAGTCTTGCGATGGTTGTAAAGTAATTAAAAAAACGTACAATCTGCCCATCTTGGACAGGCAGATCGTACTTGCGATGACCGCAATGCTGAACGGGCAGTGTGCGCGTACGCACACCGGCCCATGCGGCTTTGATCTTACGATCATGTTAAACACCAGCCGAAAATCGTACGATTCTCGGCTGGTTTTCTAGCATGCTCCTAAGACAAAAGACGTGCGACCGTACAGTAAAAGCGGTTGCACGCCTTCCATACACTTTACGATTATTGTACGATCGCGGGATTTCCCGCGATTATCGTGCGATAATTGCACAGTGTATGGGCAAGGGGGCCCAGAACCTGGCTGCCCCATCTGCCACGTGCGCCTGCCTCACAGAATTATCCTTGGCAGATAAATCAGTTCACATTTGTAGATTTTATCTGTGTATTTAGCAGCTCAAGGCAACCCACATAATAACAAAAAAAAAAAAGTACATGTTGTATTCTGTTTACTTCACACATCAATATTTGTTTCCATTTTTGTGCGGCAAAGGTAAACGTATAGTTTTATCCACTTGTGCTGCCATGGTAACAGACAAACAGCGCAGAGGCACGCAGGAGTAGAGTTGATCGTAACCATTACACTACCAATATACAATATCATCTTTACCAATACAAGGCTTTCCTCCACCAAGCCCATTCTTAACAGTATAATGTGTATTTCTAAATTAGAGCTGCTGTTTAAATAGGAACTATCAATTTAATTGGAAACCCCCTAGTCATTTAGTAACCATTCACATACTAACATAATAGGTTTCCCTTCCTCAGTATCCCCTTTTATCAGCAAAAGGATCTGTGGTTATGCATTTGTATCAGTAGCTCCATCTAGTGGTAAAATATGGTATTGACGTGTGACCCTTTAATGGAAATCTGTCGTAAGAGAAACATAAACATTATCTTTGCTGACCTCAATTAAAGTTGCATTTGCCTGGCTACCATGCTTACCCTCAAAAGTACAAAAAGGAATTTAGCAAAAATACTACATGCCTACACCTAAAACATTGGATACCTAGAGGATACTAATTGCTGGATACCATTATTATTTTGTAACACCTTACCAAGCAACTACCAGATGTACTGCCAATGTTGCTACAAATACTATATTCCAAATCTCCCTTTCATACTGAGTAGGGATGCACCGATACCGATACTAGTATCGGTATCGGTGCGGATGCCAAGTATTTGGGCATCAGATGCTCCGATGCCTAGCCCGATACTTCCTGTATCAGGAAGCCTGATACTAGTCGGGAAGCTGGCCAGTCAGGAAACTGGGTGCCGTGTAATGACGCGACACCCGGCTTTCTGATTGGCTGGGAAGCCTCATGACGAGGGAGCATGGAACCAGCTTCCCAGCCAATCAGGAAGCTGGGCACCGCGTCATTTCACGGTGCTCGGCTTCCTGATTAGCCAGAAAGCCGGCTCCATGCTTTCTCGACATATAGTGACAAGAAGCATGGGGACGGCTTCCCTGCTAATCGGGAAGCTGGGTTGCGGGTCTTTACACGCGGCCTGGCTTCCTTATGGGACTTCCGGTATCGGTATTCGGTATCGGCGAGTACCGTAAAAAATATTGGTACTCGATACCAAAAATACCGGTATTGGTGCGCCCCTAATACTGACTATAAGGTATACAGCAACCTTTCTCCCTCCAATTTTTACTACAATTTCCCTATAGGAATCAAATGATGCATAATAAAAGAGATCAACAAGACAAGGAATGTTATTGCTGTTTTTGTTTTTTTTTATTTAATGCTGCCTTTGTTTTAATTTGCTAAATGGTTACAAGAAAACTGTAACTGCGTAATAACAATATTTATTATTATTACTATACAGGATTTATATAGCGCTAACAGTTTGCACAGCGCTTTACAATATAAATCTAAAAGCATTGTTATATTTGCACATTGAAATTCTACTTTCATACACGTGAAGTTCTACATTGCTTGTGATTCTATACTGTAGCTGTAATGTTATGTAAACTCCAATGTTATAACAGAGTAAAAAAGGGCTCCACCCACCCAGGAATAAACCATTTAAGCAAAAGTAAAATACAATTTAAAAAAAAAAGGCATGGCGAGGTGAAGTAACATTCTTTCATGACGGCTGGCCAAGCTGGAGGCCGAAGATGCGGAATCAGGGAGACCAGTGGAAGGAGATGGCAACATCAGCACCAATGGGAAAGCCGGAGTGCAAAGCTGGAAGGGATCGGTTTGGCAGGTAAGTGGGCCATAATATGCTGTGAATAGGAATGCACCGATACCAGTATCGGTGCCGATACCGAGTATTCGGGGGAGCACTCGTACTCGCCAAAATGCTCTGATACCTTCCCCGATACTGGAACTTCCAGTCAGAGGAGGGTTTCCTCTGACTGGCAGTGCCGTAGGGGAACATGGAGCCATCTTCCCGGGCAATCAGGAAGACGGGGGCAAGTAATGACTCGCCCCCCAGCTTCCTGATTTAATGCTCATTGGCTGGGAAGCAGGTTTCCCGGCCAATCAGCATGGAGCCGGCAGAACAAATTTAAATTACACAAGATCAAGATAAAAATTGAAAAAAAAATTAAAAACACATTAGAATACATGGCTCCATGATAATTGGCTGGGAAGCAGGCTTTCCAGCCAATCAGCATGGAGCCGGCTTCCCAGCCAATCAGGAAGCTGGGAGGAGGGTCATTAGTCACCGCCCGGCGTCCTAATTGCCTGGGAAGCTGGCTCCATGCCGATTGGCTGGGAAGCTGGTTTCCCGTCCAATCAGCATCAAGCCGGCCAAACATGGAGACGGCATCCCAGGAAATCAGGAACCCGGGCGGGGAGGCCATTACCCACTGATCGGCTTCCTGATTGTTTGGGAAGCAGGCTCCATGTCAGCCGAAGCACCGGTATCGGTACTCTGTATAGGTTGCGGCTCTCTGCTCAGACACATCAGAGGGCCCTCATGCCTGAATAGAGGGCCGCGGCTGCATGGTCAGCTCGGCCAAGCCGCGATCCGGGTAAGCTCGACCTGGCCGCAATCCAAGACAGCTCAGCCTGGACACGACTCTGCGCCTATTTGCAGGGGTGGGTGTAGAGTGGGAGCTCCACCCGCCTATATGTTAATCCGGTGTTCTGTCGAGAATGCCAACCCAGTCCAATTTTCCGACCTGAAAATCTGCGCTTGCGCAGACACCGATATGAATGAGAAAACAGCCATTTAATTACAAAGTATTTATTTCTAATTGTTAATTGTGACCGTTCATAAAATGCCATCCATGGCTGTAAATAATGGATGACATTTTATGCACATTCACAATTAACATCGTAAGCAATTATATTATTATGTAATTGCTTACGATATTAATTGTGAATGTGCATAAAATGCCATCCATCATTTACTGGCTCTGATGGCATATTATGAACGGTCACAATTAACAATTAGAAATGCTTTGTAAATAAATGGCTGCTTTCTCGTTCAACCTGGTGTCTGCGCAAGCGCAGGTGGTTAGGTCGGAAAATTCGACTAGGTCGGCATTCTTGACAGAACACCGGCCCTGGACCCTGGTTGTCCGTCTGTAGGCTGAATTCAGGCAATTTAAACGTAAGGCTAAATTGTTTTAAATAAAGTTGGTTGATTTACATTTCAGTTGAAGTGATGTCTGTTCCTGTTAGTTGTGGTTGCTAACCAACACAGCTGAAGTGTGAGAGCCAAACATTGTGGGTAAATGAAAGCGAGGCTTGGTTTACAAGAAGAACCACATGCAGTCGCATCTGAGGCTGTGGGAGAGGGAGTTATGTCACAAGGACTGTGTGCGATCAGTTTATGGTAGTGTCTGCGGGATAGGAGAACAAGGAGCGCTGCTGATTGGTGGATTTTATTAGTTCAGAGAGGTGATTGGTCAGAGCCGTGTATCTCAAGGCGGAAGCAGGAAGAGACTAGGCAGAGACGAGTGTGTCTACGGGGAGGGGGGAGAGAAGACAGTGACTGCCCGCTGGGGAGAGCTCTGCTTCTAGAGATCTGCATGGACGGCAAGAAGGCATTGGGGTGAGAAAGCTACTGACACCCACCAGCCTGCTGCTCTGCAATAGCATGACATGATAAGTCCAATGCACTGTGCACTCAGCTGTCCTATGACTGCTCCAGGATGAAGGTTATCCTGACAGGTGATGCGCAGGCTTCATACAAACTATCATAGCAAGTGTACTCATAATAATATATACAGACATAATAAAATATACAGACATAGCAACACTCAGAATAATATATAGAGACATTGCAAGTATATTCATAATATTATATAGAGACATGACAAGTGTATTCATAATTATATATAGAGACATAGCAACTGTACTCATAATAATATATAGAGACATAGCAAGTGCACTCAGAATAAAATAGAGAGACATGACAAGTGTATTCAGAATAATATAGAGAGACATAGCAAGTGTACTCATAATAATATATAGAGACATGACAAGTGTATTCATAATAATATATAGAGACATGACAAGTATATTCATAATAATATATAGAGACATACGATAGCAAGTGCACTCATAATAATACATATAGACATAGCAAGTGCACTTAGAATAATATAGAGAGACATAGCAAGTGTACTCATAATAATATATAGAGACATGACAAGTGTATTCATAATAATATATAGAGACATGACAAGTATATTCATAATAATATATAGAGACATACGATAGCAAGTGCACTCATAATAATACATATAGACATAGCAAGTGCACTTAGAATAATATAGAGAGACATAGCAAGTGTACTCATAATAATATATAGAGACATTACAAGTGCATTCAGAATAATATAGAGAGACATAGCAAGTGCACTCATAATATATAGAGACATAATAATATATAGAGACATAATAATATATAGAGACATGACAAGTGCACTCTTAGACGATAGAAAAAGTGACACAACAGACTGAATATCATCCATTTAGGATTTGCATCCACTTTAAAGCCCAGTTGAAGTTTTGTTTTGTATACTTGCTGTGCAGTCAGGTTCCATAACAGGTAAGGAATGTTTTGTGTGAGTTCATGATTAAAACTGTAAGAAGCCACTTTGTGTCGGTAGCACACTAAAGAGCCAATCCGTTGCTCTCACGCAGAGTGCAGCGAGTCTTCAGTAGCCCCACACACTACCCTGCACAGTGCTCTGACCAACAACCCTCATGCTGCTGGGCATATCATCTTTGGAGCGGAAGAGGAGACAGGCTGGAGGGAGTGGTGTAAGAGCAAGCCAGGATTGCGGTTCAGGTGAGTATATTTTTGTTATTTTAGCTCTATAGGCAAAACAAACTTTTAAAGTGAATCTTTACCCACTTTGGCTAAAAATCACATCAGCGTACAGCTCTGCATGCTAATAAGAAATAATATTACATTAGTTAAACATATTTTAATGTTACTTTACATTTTAATAAACAAAATATAAAATAAAATTTAATGCTTTACTTTTCCCGTTTTCTACTCCCTGGTTCTCTTTAGCAAAAGTGATGTAATCATGCCCAAGTGTTGCATCCTGGGAAGGTTACATCAGCAGAGCATTGCTGGGAAATCTCATCTGCAATCTCATGAGATCTCAGGGAAAGGCATTTTCCTCCCCTGAGATGATGTGCATGGTCACATGTCCTAGTCATGTGCCAGAGTTCCAGGAAGTAAAGGGAGATGGATTCATCTGCCCTTAGTAAAAATGGCCACCATGAGAAGGAAGGTGAGGAAAAGAAAAACACGATATGCAAAGAATAAAAAACCTAAAGTTATCTGTAAGTATCTATTTGCAGACCTTTTACATGCGGCTCCCCATAGACCAACATGGTTCTGGTCATTTCTTTTTTTTTCCTCCATTGCAAGATGAAAGAAAAAGACTGGACGTATATGGATGTCACAAAGTGACATCTGTTTTGCACTGCTCCGATCAGTAGGGGATCCCCCCATGTGAAAGAGGCCTTACTAATATAAGAAAACTTGCTTGTTTGTGTATTTACCTTTCCTGGGCTGGGATACCTTGTGCGTAAGATCAACCCTTTGTGTGCAGAAAGTTACCTGCACTGGGATCCCTGTGCCAGAATATACTATTTTATTTTCAGATACCTGCTTCTCAGTTTAGATTTCCAATAGATCCCCAAATCCCATGGTGTCAAAAGCACTGTCTGTTTCACCTCCTGTGCTCTGCCATTCCCAAGCAAGACTGCTCATCATATTAGTGTACCAATGAAAAGGTAGATGAAGGGGGTAGGACCAGAATGCTGCCATGGTAGCAGGCAGAAAATTGCACACAATAGAACACCCCAGGATGTGAGACTTGTGGGATGTCGGTGCTCGGTAGGATAGCTAAAGTGATGTGTAGTCATCTGGAGGGGATTTCCACGATCTCTTCTTCATGTATCACCAGTCACACTGGTACTGAAATAATTTGCAGGCTACTACGGCTGACCTCTCATAATGTAGGTGACAGTTTCATGGCTGTCATGCTGACCCAATGACTTAAGGGCTCATGCTTATGGGCCCAAATGTAGGTGTATAGGCATACAGCATAAAATACACCTGTATTTGCAGCACTGGGATCCGCAGCTGCTGCATTTTCCTCTCCATACCATTGTATGGACAGAAAATGCTATTTGCATGTAAACACAGGTACCAGTGTTTACACTTTTTCTGAAGTCTCAGGAGGGTCACATGACGCCACAGATTCCTTCATCCCTTTTTCTATAGAATGGGCGGTCCTTACTGATGCAGAGTGGGGCACTGAAGACATAATGTCTGGTGTGCTCTCTGCACCCTAGTACACAGTGAATGAAGGGCCCCATAGTGATGCCTCCTTATGGGCGGGCCATCAGCACCCTGTATTCACAGTAGATTCCTCAGTCTATTGGGTTGCATGGTGCGAGGGCATCTTGTGGTGGAGATGAGGTACTGCGGGAAGGGGGCAGTCTTGAATGAAGGTAAGAATAACAGCCGGAGTTTCTTTTTTATTTTTAAAACTGCTTGGTTGACTAGATCATTGAACAAAAATGTCACCCTGAGTCAGGCTTCACTACCTACTGAATCACTGGTCTGGAACAAGTGCTCATATCAGTCTTTTATTTGGCTTTCTAAACGGCATGCTTGTTCAGGTTAGTAACTTGCAGTATTGAAGTCGGAGAGCCAGACATCTTGTATTTTTAGAAGGTCAGCAATGTGATCTCTGGTTTATATATACAGTGCATTCAGAAAGTATTCAGACCCCCTTCACTTTTTTCAATTTTGTTATGTTGCAACCTGATACTGCAGTTTTTTAAATTCTTTTTTTCCCTCATCAATCTACACTCAGTACCCCATAATGACAAAGTGAAAACAGAATGAGAAATGTCTGTGAATTTATTCAAAAGAAAAAACTGAAATATCACATGTAGTTAAGTATTCAGACCCTTTACTCCGTACTTTGTTGAAGCACCTTTGGCAGCACTTAGAGCCTCGAGTCTTTTTGAGTGTGACGCGACAAGCTTTGCACACCTGGATTGGGGGATTTTTTTGCAAATCAGTCAGGTTGGATGGGGACCGTCGGTGGACAGCCATTTTCAGGTCTCCCCAGAGATGTTCAATAGTGTTCAAGTCAGGACTCTGGCTGGGCCACTCTAGGACATTCACAGGTTGTCCCTAAGCCGCTCATGTGTTGTCTTGGCTATGTGCTTAGGATCGTTGTCATTTTGGAAGGTGAACCTTCAGCCCAGTCAAGGTCATGAGCGCTGTAGAACAGGTTTTCATTGAGGATATCTCTGTACTTTGCTCGATTCAGCTTTCCCTCAACCCTGATAGGTCTCCCAGTTCCTGCTGCTGAAATGCATGATGCTGCCACCACCATGCTTCACTGTTGGGTTTGTATTGGGCAGGTGATGAGCGGTGCCTGGTTTCCTCTGGACATAAGGTTTAGAATTGAGGCCAAACAGTTAAATCTTGGTTTCATCGGGCAATATAATCTTGTTCCTCACAGTCTGAGTACTTCAGGTGTTTTTTTTTTTGCAAACTCCATACGGGCTTTTATGTGTTTTGCACTGAGGAGAAGCTTCTGTCTAACCACTCTGCCATAAAGGCAAGATCGGTGGAAGGCTGCAGTGATGGTTGTCCTTCTGGAACTTTGTCCCATCTCCACACAGGATCTCTGGAGCTCAGTCAGAGTGACCATCAGGTTCTTGGACACCTCTCTTACTAAGGCCCTTCTCCCCCGATTGCTCAGTTTGGTCGGGCAACCAGCTCTTGGAAGAGTCCTGGTTGTGCAAAACCTTTTCCATTTGAGAATTATGGAGGCCACTGTGCTCTTGGGAACCTTCAGTGCAGCAGTAATTTTTTGTAGCTTTCCCCACATCTGTGCCTTGCAATAACCCTGTCTCTGAGCTCTGCAGACAGTTCCTTTGACCTCATGGCTTTTGGTCTGATACAGTATGCATTGTCAGGTGTGAGACCGTCTATAGCAGGGGTATTTTATGATAATAAAGAGTAGATGCATAGTCCTATACAACCGGCCCTTTGAGGGTAACCATACTGCTGATGCGGCCCCCGATGAATTTGAGTTTGCCACCCCTGGTCTATAGAGAGGTGTATGCCTTTCCAAATCATGCCGAATCAATTTAATTTACCACAGGTGTAGAAACATCAAGAGAAATGGGAGACACCTGAGGTAAATTTCAAGTGTTGTTGCAAAGGGTCTAAACACATGCCAATGTGATATTTGTTTTTCCTTTTTTTTTATACATTTGCAAATATTTCTAAAATTCTGTTTTTACTTTTTGTTTTCACTTTGAGTGTAGATTAATGAGAGGAAAAAAAGAATTTAAACAATTGTAGCATTAGGCTGCAATATAACAAAACTGAAATAAGTGAAGGTGCACTGAATACTTTCTGAATGCACTGTATATCTTAGTATAGGTCTCTTATTATTATTATACAGGATTTATATAGCGTCAACAGTTTGCGCAGCGCTTTACAATATAAGGAAGACATTACAATTACAATACAATTCAAGACAAGATGGTAAGGAGGGCCCTGCCCATTAGAGCTTACAATCTAAGAGGGAGGGGCAAGTGATACATGAGGAGATAGCTGTGTGGGGATGAATTGTTTGAGAAAGTGATAGTTCAGTGGTTAGGTCGAGGCAAGATTGGCTTCCCTGAAGAGATGAGTCTTTAGGGCTCACCTAAAGGCAGTCAAAGTAGGAGACGGAAGGACAGGTTGGGGTAAAGCGTTTCAAAGAATGGGGGGAGACTCTAGAGTAGTCCTGGAGGCGAGCATGGGAGAAGTCTCTTTGACCATAACGTATGCTGAAACAGCAGTGAACCCGCTGTAGGTGGCTTAGGAGAGAGTGTGATAGACCTCTGTGTCTCCGAGCCTGCTGTGGGGAAGTGTGATGTCCTGGAAATGGCAAATGCTACATTTTTATAGTAATGGCTAACGTGACATTTACGTGAATAGAGCTAAGAACAGAAAAACATTTAATGTGATCAATACATAAACCTAAAACCCATCTTGCAGAAACAGGATGCTTGCCTTCTGGTATTTAAACAGGAATTTGGGATTAGCAAAACCTTTCTGTGATCGCTTGTGCTATTGCTGTCAATTTGCAATGTACAAGTGCTAGGAGAGGAATATTAAACTGTTGATATGAAATATGTATTTATGTAATTGGTATGAGTATATTATGCCATTTTCTATGACACCGTTATTAGCTGTTGTAGAATGGCATTTTATGACAGAGCATGCCTTACATTGCACAGTGCTGAACACGTGTGTGTGTGTGCGCGTCACTGGATACTCATGCTGAGGCTGTGATCTGTGACAGACTATGACAAGGTGACGCTGGGTCACTGACATGACACAGCACTGTGCTTCTGCTCTGCTGCAGCCAAGCTCATATCAGCAAATCCCATGAAAGGGGCAGCACTTCACTTCATGTCTGTTTGAATACAGACAGACTCAACGTAGTGTCTTTGTACTTGCAGTGTCCACCACACCGACATGGATGACAAGATGGCTGACATAGATGATGTCTTGGTGCCCGAACTACACAAACTGCTGGAGCAGGACTCGTATCTCGTACCATACAAGAAGGATTTCCAGAGAAGGTAAAGTGAGGCACATGCCGTGTCCCCTCACCCTTTTATCCTACGTGTTTCCATGTCATTCAGGGTTAGGAACTTCTTCAGTTGAAGTTTTGGGTTGGCAGCCACATGGCACCCCAGTTGTTGTCGGATTGCAGTTTTTAGGGATTTCGTGGTATGGAAAGTTGAATATTGTTGTGAGAACAGCTAGAACAATGCAGCTCTTTCTCATCACTGCACTCTTATTTATAATTGTGGAATGCCAATCTTGTTAACTCTGCATTGTGAACTTGTGTCCTGTGAATCATCACTTTAATCAAAGAGGAAAACACTTTTAGCTTCTAGGGCTTGTTCACACATAGTGTGTTAATCAACTCAGACTCCACCAAATAGACGCCCGCTCAGATCGAGAGAGCTCCTGGCCGGCCGTTTTTTTACTACGGCCGGCCCGCAGGTAGTTAAATACTTTTGCTGGCTATGTACCCAGTTGTTGTATTGTTGTTGTTGAGTTGTTGTATGTTGGGTAGAAATGTAGACCTGGTGCATTTGTTTGCAAGTCACTGCAATGCATAGAGTTACATAGAAGTTTTAATAAAGATGGTAAAAAGTCAGCACTGCAATACAGTTTAACAATGGACACAGTGCACAGCAGCACACGTTCATACCACACACCAACACACACAGATTATATGCACATTAACGAGGTCCTGGAGCTGCGGGCGGGAGCTGCGGCTGGTGTGTGGGCGGGGCAGGAGCTGCGGCCGGCTGGCGTGTGGGCGAGGCTGGAGCTGCGGCAGGCTGGTGTGTGGGCGGGGCGGGAGCTGCGGCCGGTCTTTACACAGTTTATGTGCAGCTACCCCGAAAGTAAGACCTAGCGGATTTCTGTAATATAAGACCTACCACCGAACTAGGTCTTATTTTCGGGGTAGGTCTTATATTACAGAAATCCCTGAAGATAGTGCTAGGTCTTATTTTCGGGGTAGGTCTTACTTTCGGGGAAACACGGTAGTAGGCTTTTCGTGGACCTAGCGTCAGATCTTCATTAATTTTTCATGTTATTTGCATGCAAGTGGAAGAGGTCGATTTATCAAAGTTTTCACAAAGTGATCACCCAAGAGTCGCACTTTTTTCAATTCGATGAAAAAGATGTAAATCTTGGGTGACAACATTATTAAAAAAGTATTTATTCATCTTCAGACATTGCAGTTCTCCTCCTGACAATGCCTTCATTTTCCTTCCAAGGTCAAAAGGACTTAAAGTAGTAATAAACTCTCACTCCTGTTATCAATAATGAATCTAGATCAAAGAAATATACATCGCCCAGCAAAGCATTGCATTTTCTTTGTGTATCACTAAGCTGTAGATCCTCAAATCATCTCTGAATTGGTGCTGACACTGTCCTTCCTTCTGGAGGGTGACTACTTTTGTTCCCCATGGTCCCTGTGTGTGTTGTAAAGTAGCCACCACTCCAAGCTCTCTCCTGTGATGGACTTCAGTCTCATGATTACTTTACTCATTGTATTGAAGTTTTAGTCTGTATATGTGATATTTCTCATTGTCTGCTTTGTGACATAGGCCTCATTTGCATAAGTTACACTATGATTTTCTGGGTTTTTCTCTTCTTTGAATACACTTTAACACCAACCTCATGAATTGTGCAATGTTTTGGCTCTTTTTCACTTATGCATTTATTATTTTGATTATATTCAGGTTGTATTGTTTGATCATGAATGTGTACATGGAATTGATGGCTTAGGGATAAGACCTCTGGCTGCTGAGGCTTGAGGTATTCCTTGTGATGTGGCTCAGGCCTCATATATGAAATTCACAACCTATTTGTTTGTATATGTGATATTTCTAATGGCCTTCTTTGGAGCATAGGTCTTACAGATGTTGCTGCATAATTACTTGACTTTTTGTTTGATACTTTCCTCATGGATTTTACAGGATGCGTTAACGTTCTATATTCATTTTCTTACAGAACATTAGAGTCAAGTTCTTTATGCATGTATCATTTTAATTATATTTTGGTTGTATTTGTCCTTAAATTTGTACATAGAAAAAATAGCTCAAGGGTTCTGGCTGTTGAGACTTCATTCAGTGGGCAATCATATATTCCTGAGCCAAGTCCCCTTCTCATTCAGGCACTACCAGATACACTCCCTGTGCCCTAAGCACTTGAGGAGCATGGTATTAAACCCCCTTCCTGTCCATGCCCTTTTTCAATATTCAGCGCTGCGGTACTTTGACATTTATTCAGTTTTTGTATCATTTTTTTAGGGACAGATAGAGCTTTTATGGGTGGTATGTAATCACTACTGTGGTTTTTTATTTTTCACCATGTTTTAATTTTTTTAATTTTTACTATATAAAGAGAAAATACAGAAAATTTAGAAAAAAAAAACAATTTTCCCTACGTTATGTTATAAAACATTTATTATTACCCAGTTTTTTGGTAAAATATAAAAGATGGGGGTCACATCGGGTAAATAGACACTAAACATGTCGAGCCTAATTTTTATTGTTTTTTTTTAACAGTTAACTTTATTGCCATCTCATAGGGAGCCTCCTATGTGATAGCAAAGATAATGTGACCATCCCTCTTTATGGAGGCATCAGGGTCAATTAGACCCCTAATGTCACCTAGGGACCCCGAAGGAAGCTGATGAAGCAGATCTGCTTCACCAGCTTCTCTTCAGCTACAGAATCCATGACAGCTGAAGGCAGAAGTGATGTAATACACATCACTTCGATTCAGAGACCAGAAGGGGAATCAGTGGGAGATTGTGTGCTGATCTCCCTCCGATATCAGTACTGAAAGCTGATGTGCCGGTCCAGGGCCCACATGGGCCACAGCAGAGCCGGGGATATGTGGCAGCGGAGGGGGGCGCACGCTTCAACACAACATACAAGCAATCGGGCGGCTCTACAGCTGCCCGAACGCTTGTATGTAAACAGTTGTCGCTGGCTGGTTAAAATGCAAACAGTTTCCTACCCAGCACGCGTGCGCACGAGTGAGATAGCGAGAATGGACATTTTAAAACGCACGCCCGCATTTAGGAACCCCGCTTATTTACAACGACTGGATGGAAAGTGGTTAAACTGTAGATTTATAGGACAAAGTTTCACTTGCCTACCATGTAAAAAAAAAATATTTCATCATCAACCATATACATGAAGTAGCTTACGAGTTGTCCTCATCATGTGATATGTAATTAATAGATGAACACTGCATGTATGCATGTAGCTATATACTGTATGTTACAACTCTACTACAGTATGAACAAAGCAAAACATTTTGTTCACATTAGCAAAAACAAAAATTGGTGTTGTACCACTAGCTGTTCCATTTTCGTTTGAAAAATCATTTGTGTATGATTTCCGAACTAAAATCTAACCACGTATGGCCACCTTTAGTTTATGATGCAGTTTACTGCAGTTTATAATGTAGGATGTGATTCGCTTAAACAGCTCTACAGTGCTGCCACCTAGTCCAATTTTCATTTGGTTGTTTGACTCGACTGGATTGCCCTATTCTCCTATCAGGTCTGAGCCTTTGGGAAGCAAAGCCTGCAGGCCGTAGCCCCACCATAGTTAATTATTTCTCACTGATCCTCTCTTGCAGTCCTGGAAGATGATTGCGGAAAACAGATTTAGTTACCTGGCAACTCAGCTTTAAGGAATCTTCCAGGACAGCCGGGAATTGCCTCCCATTATTTTAGTGATTAAGGGTTGCTACATTCTACTGTTTGCCTTTTGGCTTTACAGGCAGTCCCCGAGTTACATACATTCGACTAACATACGACTCCTACTTCCAAACGGAGGGTATTACTGTACAGCGGGGGTAGTTGTAATGCTTCCGCGCTTGTGCTGACGAGGAGTGCCCGCCTTTTTGGGTCTGGTTCGTAGTCCTGTACCTACATTACAGGAAGTTGGCTCTTGTTAGACGTGCAGACGAGGGGTGCCTGCCTCTTCTTCCGGGTCACTGTGAGGTTTTTACTGCTGTCTGTATCCTCATTAGAAAGATTTAATTTCACTTCCTGTCCTTGAGACAACAGGAAGTGAAAGGAAATATACCCCTAGGAAGTGAAATTCACTACTGTAAGAGTGATCATGGGAAAAAGGTGTCTCCACTGAAGCTTTATCACCAATCCTTGTTTCCATGACAACCCAACATTTTCAAAATCCAATTGTCACAGGGACAGAAAGTGAGGTGAAATCTTCTGAATAGGGGCACACACAGCAAAACAAATATCACAGGGGGTAAGCCCTTCCCTATGCTATCCAAAACAACAACAACAAAAAACTTGGGGATGGAGTTACACCTAAAACATGTACCTGTTCCAACTTACATACAAATTCAACTTAAGAACAAACCTACAGTCCCTATCTTGTTCGTAACAAGGGGACTGCTTGTATTTATATAGTATTACTAATACAATGAGTCTGAGCTTGTTTTATTGTCTGTGAGCCTCACATTTCCTGTTTCAGGTGGGCAGTGCCACACACTCTCCCATGATCTGTCCTGCAAGATTCCTGGAAATTGAGTTATTGGGTAACTGTGGGTTTTTTTTTTTTTTGGCTTTTTTTTTTTAAACGGAGGTGTACATCATGTCCTAAAATTATTTTCTACTTATGCTTCCTCCCTCTTAGCTGCTGGAAGCAAAATGAAAACAATATATTCAAATCCAAGGCATGTTTTGAAAGTGGGTACCATATCGTTCCACCCATTACTTTTCACAGTAGGGTCTTTCAAGAGAAGTATTATTGCCTTGCCATTGTCATTTCACTTCTTTTATTTTTCTACTCTATATGCAAAGAACTTGCTGTCATGTCCTGGCGTGATCCAGCAATGTATATATTGCTGTATGTCTAATTTTCCAGAAACAACAGCCAACTTCAAGGAACTCTAAGCAAACGCACTGTGCTCAAGATGTGTGCAGAATAAGAAAGCCATGTTTTATGACTTATGGAATTCAACTGATTTTTGATAGTTGCGTCACTTTCAACGCTCACTGGGATCT